GCCGCAGAGCGCGTCGATCCCGTTTGCGATAGCAACACGCCGCGAGCGAATTGGCCTAACGGCGCGTCAGCCTCGCCGGCGGTAAGCCTGACGTAGCGCTAGCTTGTCCAAGCGCTGGCCTGACCAAGCGCTAGCCTGACCAAGCGCTAGCCTGACCAAGCGTTAGCCTGACCAAACGCTTGACTGACGTGTCAGGCAAGATACTTGGCCGCGGAGCGGGCGCCAGCCCCGTCGGCGAAAGCAACATGCCGCGAGGAACTTGGCCGCCGACCGCTCGTCAGCCGCGCCAGCGGTAGGCCTAACGTAGCGCTAGCCTGACCAAGCGCTAGCCTGACCGAGCGCTAACCTGACGTGTCAGGCGAGGTACTTGGCCGCGGAGCGCGCGTCGGCCCCGTCGGCAAAAGCGACACGCCGCGAGGGACTTGACCGCGGAGCGCGCGCCAGCCCCGTCGGCGAAAGCAACACGCCGCGAGAGACTTGGCCGCAGAGCGCGTCGATCCCGTCGGCGAAAACAGCACGCCGCGCGAAAGCAACACGCCGCGAGGGACTTAGAAAATTTTTGGTCTCCGGAGGTAAACCTGGCGCCTCGACGCTTCCCCGCAAGTGCTCTTATTATTACGTCGATTCGCGTGCTCGCACGTTTATTCGGCCTCACGCGTATCCCCTGTGCACCTTGTCGACTCGTTCGCCCCGATAGCGAAGAATTTTCGGCGCCGGAGGTAATCGCGGCGAAAGCAACACGCCGCGCGAAAGCAACACGCCGCGCGGGACTTAGAAAATTTTCGGCTCGGTCGGGTCCGGAGGTAAACCTGGCCGATCGACGCTTCCCCGCTAGCCCCCTTAATATTACGTCGATTCGCGCGCCCGCACGTTTATTCGGCCACCCTACCACCCCCGTGCACCCCCGTCGTCCGTTCGCCCCGATAGCGAAGAATTTTCGGCGCCGGAGGTACACTTGGCCAAAGCAACACGCCGCGGCGGTACCTCGCTTCCAGCGGCTAAGTCCCGCGCGCCTCGGTCTATCGACGTTCGCGCCCATAAGCGGCCGTGCATAAGACCGTGCGTCGCCGACCGCTTGTCCGGTCGGTTGGGTACTATAAGAGGTGCGGTGCGCTCGGCTAGCCGAGCGGTACGATGCGGTCGTGCGTACACGTTACTCGTGTCTCGTACGCCCCGTACGGCTTCTCGAACGTCTATGAAACACGGACCGTAATCGTTGCGATGCACGTCGGTCGTTCTTCTCGCTATTGACGGAAAAGTTGTCGACTCTCGCACGGAGAGTGAGTTACATCGTTCGACGGGCGCGCAGCTCCGTCCGACGTCTTCGGCGACTCGTTCGACGAAACGTCCGGTGTTCGCTCGCGCTTGCCGAAGCGTGCCGTCCGAAATACACGATATAATATTATATACGAACAGAGCATTGCCACGAGTCGGTGTCAAGAGACCGAATGGCTCTTATGTGGTGCGCACATAGTGTTGGTCGCGCGATCTTCCCTCGTTCTCAGACGAACGTCATCGGATGAATCGTGGCGCTTACTGAACATCAACTCCACGGATACGAGTGCGACGGAAGTGCGAGATCCCTGGCGATTTCTCTTCCCGCTTACTTGTACGCCTTAGCGAAATTTTTCGGCTCGCGGGCGCATCGTGCTTCGCACGTTGGCTCTGTGAGACCGGTCTGAGTACGCACGTTCCTCGACGTCTGAGTATCGCATCGTCGATCTAGCGTCAGGGCTGAGCGGCTACGCGCCGCTATCATGGGA